GGCAGGACCTGGAAGATGCTCAGAAGATTCTATACAAGGATGTGATGCTGGAGACCTACAGCAACCTGGTGTTTTTGGGTTAGTGGAACTCCCATGAAGCTGTCTGAACTAATTACTGTCTCAATTCATTGTAAATGTACAAGAGTTTCATAATGTTTAATGCTATTTAGGAGTGAGATTTCATTCTGTAGTTAATGTGAGTGAACTCTTTAACAAAATGTCCAAATCAGCCCCTTTATTGCACACCTGATAAAGCTGAACCTTTGTTACTCTTCAAGTAGCTTACCTGAATAGATTGGCAAAATTCCACACTGCTTTTTATTAACAGGACAATGCATTGCCAAACCTGCAGTGATCTTCAAGTTGGAGCAAGGAGGCGATCCATGGACATTAGAAGAACTTCCCAGCTTGAGCTTCCCAGGTTAGTCAGTGCATAGTTTTCAGGGACTAGAGTAATACATTTTCTTTTAAAGAATTTATATTTCATTGAGAGGGGAAAAGAAAATGTTAGTACTGGTGAGGTTAGAAAAATGTAGAAATGTTTTCCTGAGATAAGAGTGTGAAAAAAATGGTAGATATATTTTTAAAGGCTCCTACGGGATGGCATATTTAGGGTAATTAGTATGTATTTTTATTGGCTACAAGTCCTTCCTATGTAACATTTCTGCTTAAGTGACAAGAGTTCTTTTTGACTTCTGAAAGTAGATGATCTAGAAAACTGTTCACGTTGACAAAGAAACAGTACATAATACCCACTGTTACAGGAAAGAAAAGAGAAAAAGGACAGGGAAAACAAGTGATGCATGGAAATCTTTTAATGTAAAATTATAGGAAGACAGATGGTAGATATTTTGAATATTGTTAAATGTATTAAAGGAAAGGGATGCACAAAGGAACAAAGTAAATCCAACTAGCTTTCAAAATGTTAATGTAAATTGCTACAGTAACATATTAAGGACAAAGAACCCTATTTCTTTTTTATAGATAAGTACCAATATTTGAAATATACATGAGCAATGTAAAATAAATTCTCAAATATAATTTATGGAAATGGTTTTTTTGAGAGGTTTTTGCCATAGGGCATGTGCACTCGCCAGACAGACAGAGACAGACAGAAATTGAGAAATCACCCCCTGGGGGAATGGCCATGCCGCAATCCCTTCTCCTCCATTCTCTTCTCGGGATCTTGGGCATGCACGCACACGTGTCATGGAAAATCATGTGTTAAGACAGTTCTTTTTGCCCAGTATATAGTTCAGGTGTGGAAGAAAGCATTTTACAAAAATCTAACTGTCTCATTCAGCAGAAGATACAAACATGAGATGCACACTATAAATGTACAGAATATGAAAAAGTATTTTTAAAATTATTTTTATAATAGATTTTAAACACAAAGTGGAAGGTTTCTGTTCATATAAAGAGAAAGTGGAATCCTTATTGCAGAATTAAAATCTACCCTTTCATCAGTGAATGCACACAAGGGAAACACCCTATAAATATAATAAATGTCAAAAATCCTTTTTTACAGAGGTCAAAAATTATGATAAGCAGAGAAAGTACAGAGAAGTAAACCTTTATCATGTGTATAAATTACTAAAGCTTTCAACTGTTGTTATACATGAGACAACTCTTACTGCAGAGAAAATTTGTAGATAGAACAACATATGAATTTATTATGTCTGAACACAGCCCTTTCTGACTGTCTGAATACTTATACAGGAGAGAAGCCCTATGAGTGTAAACAATGTAAGAAAACGTTTTCCCGGAATTCAGACCTCACTGTACACCAGAGGAGTCACATGGGAGAGAAATCCTATGAAAATAAAAAATGTGATAAAATGTTCTTCAAGAAGTCACAATTCACTGTGCATGAGACAAGTCACACTGGAGAGAAATCGCAAGAGCATGAATGTGGGGAATGTGGAAAATCTTTCAATTTCAAGTCAGTCTTTAGTAGACATTGGAAAATTCAAACAAGAAAGAAAAAATATGATTGTGAACAATGTAGAACAATGTTCTCCCGGAAGTCAGTTCTCACTAGGCATTGGAGAATCCACACAGGAGAAACACCCTATGAATGTGAACAATGTGGAAAAACATTCTCCAGGAAGGGGTACCTAAGTGTACATAAGAGAACTCACACAGGAGAGAAGCCCTATGAATGTGAACAATGTAAGAAAAGGTTCTCCCAGAAGTCAGTTCTCATTAGTCATCAGCGAATCCACACAGGAGAAACACCCTATGAATGTGAACAATGTAGGAAAATGTTCTCCCGGAAGTCAGTTCTCACTAGCCATCGGAGAATCCACACAGGAGAAAAACCCTATGAATGTAAACAATGTAGGAAAATGTTCTCCCGGAAGTCAGTTCTCACTAGCCATCGGAGAATCCACACAGGAGAAAAACCCTATGAATGTAAACAATGTAGGAAAATGTTCTCCCGGAAGTCAGTTCTCACTAGCCATCGGAGAATCCACACAGGAGAAAAACCCTATGAATGTAAACAATGTAGGAAAATGTTCTCCCAGAAGTCATATCTTATTGCGCATCAGAGAACTCATACAGGAGAAAAACTCTATGATTGTGAACAATGTGGGAAAAGGTTCTCCCGGAAGTCACATCTCATTATGCATCAGAGAACTCATACAGGAGAAAAACCCTATGAATGTGAACAGTGTGGGAAAACATTCTCCAGCAAGGGATACCTAACTGTACATAAGAGAACTCACACAGGAGAGAAGCCCTATGAATGTGAACAATGTAGGAAAATGTTCTCTCGGAAGTCAGTTCTCACTAGGCATCAGAGAATCCACACAGGAGAAACATCCTATGAATGTGAACAATGTGGGAAGAGATTCTACAGCAAGTGGGACCTAACTGAAAATCAGAGAACTCAACACAGGAGAGGAACCCTATGATTGTGAACAATGTAATACTCAAAAAACTAAAGTCACATCTTACTTTACATCTGAGTACTCACACTGGAAAGAAACAATGTTGGCAGCATTTTACTATTACAAGGCGGGGCTGATTGTACATCAGAGGACTCCCATAGAAGTGAAACCTTATGAATGTGAAGAATATAAATTTTTTTCCTTTTAGAAATTATATTTAGTAAGCATCTGAAAAGTCACACTGGAGAGAATCTTCATGTATGTAGGGAGTATAGATAGTCTTTCATTTATAAGTCAACCCTCAATGTACATCAAAGAATTTACAAAAGAAAAAGCCTTTAAAATGCAATGTACCTATAGAAAAATTCCCATGTAAGATAAGATAGTCCTTACTGTATATGAGAGAACACAGGAGTAAGTGCTATAAATGGGAATACTGTAGAAAAATGTTTTCAGCATAATTATTCCTTGTTTTACATAAGAACACTTACAAGGAAGAGAAACCTTGTTTGTGTGGGAATTGTAGTAAAACCTCGTTGAATAGGTCACAATTTACTGTGTATTCAGAGAACTCTCAGATCAGAATCGAATAAATGTGAAAAATTAGGAAATCTTTTTATTAGGATTAAAAGGTTACTGTACATCAGTAAACTCAAATGGGATAAAATCCTAATTTTTTTCCTTTTAGAAATTATATTTAGTAAGCATCTGAAAAGTCACACTGGAGAGAATCTTCATGTATGTAGGGAGTATAGATAGTCTTTCATTTATAAGTCAACCCTCAATGTACATCAAAGAATTTACAAAAGAAAAAGCCTTTAAAATGCAATGTACCTATAGAAAAATTCCCATGTAAGATAAGATAGTCCTTACTGTATATGAGAGAACACAGGAGTAAGTGCTATAAATGGGAATACTGTAGAAAAATGTTTTCAGCATAATTATTCCTTGTTTTACATAAGAACACTTACAAGGAAGAGAAACCTTGTTTGTGTGGGAATTGTAGTAAAACCTCGTTGAATAGGTCACAATTTACTGTGTATTCAGAGAACTCTCAGATCAGAATCGAATAAATGTGAAAAATTAGGAAATCTTTTTATTAGGATTAAAAGGTTACTGTACATCAGTAAACTCAAATGGGATAAAATCCTCAGTAAAGTAAGCTGTGCTATAAATCCTTGAAATACTCAGAAATATGAATTGATCTCTGAAGGTAACAACGTTGAACTTTTTTTCAAATTCAGCTTTGATTCAGCAAGCCACAGTAGTTAAAATTAAGGATATCAGAAAATTTGGGGATGATATCTGTCTACAAAAAGAGAACATTTCAGAAGACTGATGAATAAAATCTAAGAGTTTCCCAACTACAGGAGAAACACACATATTTTGGCAAGTTTGACAGAAAGCATGAAACCACCCTTTGGGGGATGGCTACACCACAATCCCTTCTCTATTCTCCTCTCCTCAAGCCAGTGTGGGCACACAAGTACACACACTTGCTTGAGTTTTAAGTCTCTGAGTCTGGTACTTGAACTGCATTTGAATATGTGGGAGGTTAGTGGCATAACTATTACACCATCTGTCGGCTCCAGCAAAAGTTTATTTCTATGATTCATGTTTATTATTTAAAGATGCAACAAAATATAAGCACTGATTTTGGCAAAAATAAAAATAAACATAGAAATTTTTCTACTTTCCAGTTCTGGCCATGGCAGGCAAGACAACAGAAAAAGTGTTTCAAAACATAGTGAAAACTGAAAGATTAGATGCCATATAAGCATTGAAAATGGTTATAGGTGCTAGAGACTGTGTGAAGAGGTCAGGAGAAAGGGGATAGCATGAGGAAAATAGGCAGGCATTTTTGGGATATAGAAATGGATTATAATGTGTTGATGTTAATGTGTTTTGTATCCTCAACTGTTCTGGTGGGAAGTATTTTCATTTTGGATAAATTCAACTTACAAGCTAAGGGATGTATAGGGATTAAATGTATAAAATAAATTAAAATTAAAAATAAATTTAAAATAATAAAATATACCATAAAGGCCTAATAAAACAAAACAAAACAAAAAATTCTAAGTCGTTTCAGAGCCTGTGAACTACACATATGTACTGAGAATGCTCTGCAAGTGTACCTCTGGTGAAATGTCCAAGTTTACTGTGATAATGAAACTGATCTAGGTTCGACAGGAGGCATGTGAATGTTCTGAGATTGTTGAGGAACAACATAGTCCTGGGTGTTTATAAAATTTCCAGGATCCTCTTTGGATGTTGATCACAGTTTTTGTGGACAGCTTTAGCCATGAGGTTCAGAGGCAGAGCACCCACTGGTCCAGAAATACAACCCAAGGTGAATTAGTATTCGGCTGGTTTTGGTTTTGGTTTGCTCAACATCATGATTCAGGTAGAACAAACCAAACTGTGGTGGATGAGATGTAAGGTAGCTGTCAGTGATGACAAGAAAAGGCTGGTGGAAGTCCATATGAGCTACATTGTGAAAAGTGAGATGACCAGACTTACTGTGTGCACTCACATTGTCTAGCAAACATCACTCTTATCTTTATAACTCTTTCCATCTTGTAAAATTGACTAGAGTGGTTGCACAATAATATGAATATATTGAGCAGTACTAAATTGCATATACTTGGACATGGTTAAAATGTGTCAAAGTTTTGCCTTGATTAAAGTTTAGTCAGGCCTCTCAATCTTTTATTTTCCTCTGCATACTTCCTTGTAAGATCTCTTTTGAGTAAATAACCCTGCTAAAGTAGTTTATCAAGAAGCCCCACACCAAATATTACATCACTTTAAATAAGTGATTAGGTTTTTATTGTCCACCACCCCCTGAGTGAGGTCTAATCACTCTATGTCTTCAGCAAGAATCTTATTATTTCAGTTTAACCAGAATCTCTCATATTCCTAATGTTTCTTTAGTCATTTTTCATCACACTGCTCCTCAGCTGTGTATTTCCACTGGTCTAAAATAAAGCTTTTCTCACCCCACTTTAACCAGTGTCTTTGAATCGATTTCTTCAAATAGATTTCAAGCATTTTTGGACTTTTACCACAGTAAAAACAGTCATGGGATTTCCAAAGTAGTAATAATAAGTACAGAAAGATTGGTGGTTTGCCAGAGGCTGGGTCAGGTGGGAGGACTGGAAAGATTT